TGTCTTTCTGTAGGTTGATCAGATTATTAAATCTCTTGATAAAGAACATCTCAGCAATCTCTCTCTTTCGAACATACTTTTCATTATGCAAAATATTGGGTTTCGACCAGTCAAAATCATGTCCGGATTCCAATCTATGTTTGCTAATGACCGAATGATTAGTTTCGTGTAACTTTATATTATTACAATGTTCTTTCACTCGCGTACGTAAATGTTTTTTATTTGCCCAATGTATGATAAATTACAATCCTTACAATTTAATTTGTATACAACACTTGTCTTGTCATTATTATGTAAGCTATTTTTACCGCGTCTAATTAAATTATTTAGTTTTTTTGTTATTTTGTAGATGACGTTAAAACCACTGTTTCGCAAAAGACGATACAGATCACTCGTACAGATGACTCGTATGATCTCTACATATGGTATTGTAATAAAATGAGTCTTGTCTAAACGAGTAGGATTCACGTCAACAGTATCATTGTGGTCGCGATTATTTAAAAAATTAATTCTTTTTTGAATATGTCTATGTATAATATATTCTGGAAAACAATTATTGATTAAGGTGTCATATACTAGCTTGATATTTTCTTGTTTGAAGCAGTCATTAGATAATAAAATAGCATGGTCAACTAAATTATAGATAGTGTTAATTTTATATTTTAGCGGGTGGTTCGAATAATAATTAATGTACCTCCCAGACCATGTAGGTTTCCTAAACCAATTGGTAATAAGTCTAGTTCCCGACTGAATGATTTTTACATTTAAAAAACTAATCGACGAATCAATCTCCATCTCTAAGTAAATCTCAAGCGTTCGTGGTAATTATTAAAATTAGTTAAAATTTCGTCAATTCTTGTGCGTGCACTATTGCAAAAACATCGTCCACAAATCTGTAATAAATAGGAACGGTAAAATTCAATGAATTTAAACATTGGTCTCCAGATCATCCATCACCATATCTGCTAGGATAGGTGAAAGCGGAGAACCCATGGAAGTGCCGAAGATCTGTTCATAAAAACGTCCATTAAACGAAAAGCAAGTGGAATCTAAAATCGTTTCTATTGCATATAAAAATTTAGATAAGTTAAATTTTTGTTTTTTGCAATATCGTTCCAGCGCTTTCTTATGGCATTTACAACCAACTCTTTTGGGACGTTTGTAAATAACGAAGTTACATCCAATAAATCATAATGTTGTCTTCATTAATAGTATTCTTGATGTTTTCGACAAAGGATCAACCATCTTTAATGTATGAATTTGGTTTCTTTATCGATTTATACAGAATATTGTGGATGTAACTGGAAATATTATATACCGGGCTTCCCAAAGCAGAGACTATAATTCTCAACGGAAAACCAGATCTTTATGGATCTTCGGCAGACCGTAACAACGCGGTAAATTACCGTTCGTGCAATTTAAGTTTTTGTATGTCAACTCATTAATCAAATTATTCTTGCGCCATGATTTGACTAACTCGTTGATCTTATTGGTCAGTCTTTTCAAAGGATCCTTATTCAATTCTTTATATGTGGTTTGGTCACTCAACAGCAGATCCATCTTGTCAAAATAATCTTTTTTGTCCATAACGACAGTAATCTGACTCTTGTCGGCTCTCGTGACCATAATGTCATTATTATTTTCGCGTAGATACCTCCTGGAGGCAGCGAACGATATACATAAAAAATATACATAAAAAATAAATATAAAAAATAAAATATATATAAAATAAAATATATATAAAAAATAAATATACATAAAAAAATAAAAAAAATAAAAAAATTAAAAATTAAAAAAAAGAAAAAAAAGAAAAAAGATTTTCCATTATACGTTTACTTCCACACGGTGAAAATCGGGCAACGTCAAATAAATTGGCGGCAAAAGAACGTATGAAATGACAACACGCATTATCTGTACATATATACACATATATATTTATATTTTTTTTACATTGACGAAAATTCTCGTATACGTATGATAAATAAGCGTACACGTCCATAAACATGTCCCACAAGCTTTATTTATATAATAGTTATTTTTAAATATATTTACTTGTTTTTACGTTTAATATTACTAATATTGATTTTCAAGGTCAAAAAGTCGAAAATTTAAAGTTATTTACAAGATTGAGCAAGATACACATCGAAAAATCAAAGAAAAATGCATTTTTCATGATTTTTTCAACTTTAAACCGCCATCTTGAATTTTTGAAATTACGCTACAGGGTTTTTTAGCATAGATACACATAACACTCTTAAGCGTGATTGCGATCCTTTCAAAGGTCTTTTTCGAGCTCAAAATGAATGAAATATCTGAGACAGAATCTGAAAAAATTCATGTTTTTTTCAAATAATCTCCTGTAACTTTTATCAAAAATTTTATAGGTCAAATCTGACAACGGTATCCGAAAGCTGAGATTCTAAGCTTTCAAAATCATTGTTTCACAAATTTTTCACGAGTCATTTTCATATATAGATTTAGCGCCGAAAATGATGTAAAAAAAGTGTCCGTTCCGTCTTTAAAGGGTTAAAATATAATGTTACTCTTCCTCCACGTCCGCGATTTCATCCACGATCTCCTCGATTCCATCGAGCAGTTTTATATTTTACTAAAAATTAATAATTACTAATTAATATATAATATGTTAAAGGATTATGTATTTACATTTGATTTATGTATTAATACATTTATATTTTTATTATTTCTTTCATTTATATTATTTCTTCTATTTATATTATTATTATTTCTATTATATTATTAATATTGCTCTCATTTTTATTATATTATTAATATTGTCCTTATTATTTATTTACTTATTTATGAATTTATATTTTTATTTTTATTATTTCTTTTATTTATATTATTTATATTTTTATTCTTACTTCTTTTATTTATATTTTTTATATTATTTTATATTATTTATATTATTTATACTATTTATATTTATTTATATTTTTATAAATTTCTTTACATAAATTTCACTTATATTTATTATTATTAATATTTTTATCATTACTCCTATATTATTAATATTGCTATCATTACTATTATATTATTATTATTAATATTACTATTATATCTTATATTCGAATATTATAATTTATTAATATTATTTATTACTAGATTTACTTTATTATTAGTATTATTCTTTATTTATTCATTATTTATTATTATTATTTGTTATTATTATTTATTTATTATTAGATTTATTTAATTATTATTATTTTAAAAATTAAAAATAAAGAGGGTTAACAGTCCGTATAGTAATAATACAAATTAGAAAAGGAAGGCTTTCGGACCGTGACGTAGGATGTTCGTACAAAAAATTAATTAACAGTTGAAACGTAAAACAGAGCTGCTAAATTAAAAATTGATTTAATAAGCCAACGTCTGTCGGCACAAAAAGACTATAAAAATACAATTTTAAAGACAGCACGTTTCTACAGATCCTTATTAATGTCATATAAATAATCATGATATAAACTCTAAATTAAGACACAAAAGGATCCAAAGTAGGATACAAAAAATTGAACGCATGAATTAACAGTCAGTATAACGCTTGTTGGAAAACGCAATTTCTGAGAAAATGTCAAACAAAAAAAAATTAATAAAAAATAATAAGAGACATGAAATGCTGTAACAGAGCAAAGGAATTAGGAAGAGGGGGGCAAAAGAGTAAGGGGTTTTTTAATAGAGCGACATTTATTAATGATAGGAAGATACACTGAAAAAATTCATTGGTAATAATTATCAAATATATTTAGTTGTGAATTTTAATTAAATATTTGATAAATATTACCATATTTGATAATAATTACTAAATCTTCAATTGATCTAGTTTCAAACAAATTTTGTTTGCAGTTGAATCAATTAAACAATTTAGTAACAATTATTAAATATTTAATATTTATCATAAAATCTTTAATGATTGTTATTAAATATGTTGTAAATATTACTAAATCAATTTAAGATTATTAGATTCAATTTAAGATTATTAGATATTTGATAACTATCATTAAATGATTTAGTTCAGTCAACATGTTTGATAAAATAATTGGTAATTATTAACAAATTTTGATAAGATAGTCGTGTAAAACAGTTAGCAATTATTACCGAATTGGCAGTGTTCGAAATTAAAATCAATCATTTCGAGTTCAGAAATCGCATAGCGGAACTCGCATATTCTCGCTAATAAATACTCGAATATTTATTATATTTAAAATTAACGAGCGTCGAGAAAGTTCTCGAAATCTTTGTTTATCGAGAAAAAACTCGAACACTCGACCTATCTCATTTTTTTCCGTCAGAAAAAGACGCTCGTTATTGCCGCGGACAATAACATTGTCAACCGCCGTTAAGATTTGCGCCGCTCATGGGCATGCGCGCCCATGCGTCACGATCAGCTGATCACCAATCAGCTGATCTTAAAAGATTGTGCGCATGAAAAATGAATTGTTTACGACATGAGACGTCATCATCGGTCAATGACACACGTCGCAATCGTGTCACCGCTAAAATCTTAAATTAATTGGTCCACGCCGACGCGGGCCCAAAATTCCGAGCGCCTTATAACGGGCGCCGCGCGTGGACCAAGCAAGTCTCGCACTTAACGCTGCTCGCAGTAGGCTTTGAAAAACCGCTTAGAATAACCGCTCAGTTTAACCGCAAAATACGTCGACCGCTTTGTTTCTCGGACTTCTCCGTACGTTTTCTGGATCTGAAATTTTATGTTCAGTTTATTGTATTTTGTTGATTGTGGTGTACTAAATAAAACGCAAAACCAAAAAAGAATTACGTGTCGTGGCAAGTTTTTTATGTGCAGTTATCTGTCCGCGGTCATCCATCTGCCGCGTCGTCAAATTCTCGCGCTGCCGCAGCAATCCGCGCTCACTCGCGAACATTCTGGTCCTTCGAGCCGGAGTTATATCCGCATCCGCAGTTTCGTGGGTGACGTTTCCAGTGCTGTGCAGTGCTGAAACAGACAAGCAAATAAGTGAACAATGAGTGCCGACCTGAAGGCCTTATTAGAGGCCCAGAACGACATCCACGGACGAATGTCTCGTTCCGTGGATAACCTCCGGAAGATGGGCGTCACCAACATCACCGCCGGTGCCGTCCACGCTCGTCTCACCATCCTCGACAACCTCTGGGCAAAATTCGAGGCTCAACACGAGCTCATACGAGCGGCGCTAAAAGACAGATACATGGAGAGTGAGTACGCCAAAAATGACTTCATAGATACCGCGGAATGTACGTACGTTTCTCAGCGGAGCACGCTGACAGGTTACGGGCCGAGTCAGCTGTCGCACCAAGGATGGAATCGAAGTCGGACTCTTCTCCTAAAACCGCGTTGCCGCGCATAAAATTGCCGCCGTTCTCAGGCGCCTATGAAGACTGGCCTTCCTTCCGGGACCTCTTTTTATCCCTCGTGGGAGAAAATCCATCGGTCTCGAACATTGAGCGGTTCCATTACCTTCGTTCCTGCGTGAAGGGATCTGCGGAGAAATTAATTCGGTCACTAACGGTCACAAGCGAGAATTACGACCGCGCGTGGGCGATCTTGGCGAAACATTTCGAGAATAAAAAGGAGCTCATGCGCTCAAATTTCGCTACCTTTACCGCCGTCGGGAAAATGAAATCCGAGTCCGCCGAAGAGCTAAGCCGGGTCCATCACGCCGTCACGGCCACCGTCAACGCGCAGGAGAGCATCGGTAGACCCATCAACTCCCATGGAATGGATCTCCTCAATCACTTGGTAATCGAACTGTTCGATTCGCGAACGCGCCTCGAGTGGGAGTCCTCCACCAGCGATTCTCCCGACCCACCGAGTCACGAGGCACTCACTGACTTCATAAGTAAAAGAATTCTTACCTTGAACGCCGCCAAGCCCAAGATCGCCGTGAAGAGTGCCGGGGAAGCCTCTCGGACCGCGAAGACTCACTTCGCGAAAAACGTGCCCGACGCGTCCAAATGCGCCGCCTGCAAGGGCAAGCACACGCTCATGCAATGCCCCGAGTTCAAATCCAAGTCCGCGAGCGAAAGGAAGTCCTTCGTTGAGGTCAGCGGACTCTGCTTCAATTGTCTCGGGAACCACATGATGGCACGGTGTCAGTCAATTAAAACGTGCTTCACGTGCAAGTTGCGGCACCACACGCTGTTGCACGACGCGTACGCCGCACCAACACCACAAGAAGCGAGCACTTTCTCCACGACACGCACTTCACTTGACAAACGGGCGACTCTTCTCGCCACAGCGCGCGTCACTCTGACCGACCGTCTGGGACGACCTCAGGATGTGCGAGCCCTGCTCGACCAGGGGTCCGAAGTGTCCCTCGTCTCAGAGGACTTGGCGCAGCGCCTCCGTTTGACGCGCACCCGCTCCTCGATCTCCATAGTTGGAATCGGAGGAGCATGTTCAGGATCCACACGAGGAAGGGTGACGCTCGCTCTCAAGTCAAGAGTGACCGGAGCCCCTCTCACCGTAGCGGCCTACGTCCTCCCACGGCTGTCGTCCTACCAGGGGCCAGCAATCAAGGGCTCCACCACGTGGCCGCACATCCACGGCCTCACTTTGGCGGATCCTCATTATCTCCAGCGAGATCCCATCCACCTTCTCCTCGGCGCTGATGCCTTCTCCGGGATCCTCCTCGGAGGTCTCCGAAAGGGTCGCAAGGACCAACCCATCGCGCAGAGGACTACGTTCGGGTGGATCTTATCGGGAGGCTGCGGAGTCGTGACGGCCAACGGCTCCCTCAGCTCTCTCCAGTGCACCGTAGACCACGACCTGAACGCCCTAGTGCAGAGGTTCTGGGAGCAGGAACAGGAGCAGCCTGCCTCCGTCGTGCTCACGCCAGAGGAAGAGCAATGCGAAGAGATCTTCGCCCGCACGCATGAGCGCCTCGCCGATGGAAGGTACTTGGTCCGTCTTCCGCTGGCTGGCCCTCTTCCACCTCTCGAACACACGCGGAAGTCCGCCGAGCGACTTCTCGCGGCAATGGAGCGACGCCGCTCCAGAGACGCCGGCTTCAACAAGCTCTATGGCAGCTTCATGGAGGAATACTCGGACCTGCAACATATGACCCTGGTCAGAACACCGCTCATCAAGAAATCCGCGTGTTACTTACCACACCACGGAGTGCTCCGGACTTCCAGCACGACCACCAAGTTGAGAGTGGTCTTCAACGGATCTCAGTGTACGCCTGCCGGAGACTCACTCAACAACGCATTGCTGGTCGGAGCCAATCTTCTGCCAACTCTCGCCGACGTCCTCCTGCGTTGGCGCTGGCACCGCTTCGCCTTCATCGCCGACATCGAGAAGATGTACCGGCAGATTCTGGTGCATCCCGACGATCGAGACCTGCAGCGGATCCTTTGGAGGCAAAACCGCACCGACGACGTCCAGGAATATCGCCTCAACACGGTGACGTACGGACTGGCCTGTGCACCGTTCCTGGCGATCAGGACTCTCCGCCAATTAGCCGACGATGAGGAGCCGGCAAATCCAGCGGGAGCAGTTGCGTTGAGGCGCGACTGCTATGTCGACGATATCGTCACAGGCGCCAGCACCCTGTCCGAGGCGGTCGAGAAGCAAAGGCAGTTGCGCCGACTCTGCACGGCGGGCGGGTTTCTCTTGAGGAAGTGGGCCTCAAACCACCAGAGGATCCTCGAGGAGATACCACGGGAGCATCAGCTCCAGCAGCCACACCACGACTGGGAGGACGAAGCGCACCCGACGCTTGGGTTACGGTGGCACCCCCGCAGCGACTCCTTCACATTCCGCCTCCAGCCTCGCACGACCGCCCCGCTGACTAAGAGACAGGCGTTGTCGGAGACTGCTCAGATATTCGATCCGTTGGGCTGGTTAGCTCCAGTCACCGCTCGGGCCAAAATCCTCATCCAGTCAGCCTGGATGAAACAGCTGGACTGGGATGCCCCACTGCCTCAATCAGACGAGACGTTGTGGAGACGTCTGCTTGAGGATCTTCCGCTGCTGGAACAGCTCCGGTTGCACCGATGGCTGAGGGCCGATGACCAACCTAAACGCGTTGAGCTCCACGGGTTCGCTGATGCGTCGGAACGAGGTTACGCCGCCGTTGTATACCTCCGCGTGGTGAGCTCCCCCTCGACCACGATCAAGCTGCTCGCTGCAAAAAGCAAAGTCGCACCAATTAAGCCTGTGTCTCTGCCGCGCTTGGAACTGTGCGCTGCAGTCTTAGTCACTAACCTGACATTTCATCTTCGCGAAGCCTTAGACTTGCTTTCAGCTCCAGTCACTCTATGGTCGGACTCCCGGGTCACTCTTCAGTGGATACAAGGACACGCCTCGAGGTGGAAGACCTTCGTAGCCAACCGGGTGTCCCACATCCAGACGAAACTTCCGGAGACACGATGGCGACACATCCCAGGGCGAGACAACCCCGCCGACTGCGCCTCTCGGGGGATTGAGCCCCGGGACCTGCTCAACCACTCCCTCTGGTGGACGGGACCTCCATGGCTCGACAAGGATCCAGCGTCCTGGCCACAGCACGACCACGCCGCACACGAAGTCGAGGTGCCGGAGACGAGAGCAATCGCCTCCCACTTGACGACCGCGGAGAAAGCCGAGCCAGAGATGCTTCTCCGGTTCTCCGAGCTCCATCGCCTCCTGAGGGTCACCGCCTGGTGTTGCCGATGGCGAGGCGCCACCTCAAGGCCGAAGGCTCACCCCAATCTCACGCCTGACGAGCTGGAAGAAGCCTTGCTCCTCTGGCTCCGCATGGTGCAAACTCTCCACTTCTCCAAGGAGATCGCAGCCCTGAAACAAAATAAGGAGTTAGTCAGGGGTCCACTATCGAAATTAACCCCCTTCCTCGACGATCATGGGATCATTCGAGTCGGGGGCCGACTGAAGCACGCTGTGCTCTCAGGAGACGAACGCCATCCGATGATCTTACCTCCAGAGTCGTGGATGACGCAACTCCTCGTCAAGGCACACCACAGACGAACGCTTCACGGCGGGGTTCAGCTCACCCTGGGACTGCTACGCCTGCGGTACTGGATTCCCCGAGGACGCTCCATCGTTAAAGGAATCATCCACCGATGCGTCACGTGTGTGAGATGGAAGGCCGCAGTACCTCAGCCCATGATGAGCAGCCTCCCGACAGCACGAGTCACGCCGGCACGTCCATTCCTGCGAACCGGGGTTGACTATGCCGGACCGATTCTCATCCGGACCGGAAAAGGAAGAGGTCACAAGGCGCACAAAGCGTTCATCGCCGTCTTCATCTGCTTCACCACCAAGGCGGTTCACTTGGAAGCCGCTTCAGACTACTCCACGGATGCGTTCCTTGCGGCATTCCGGCGCTTCACTTCCCGTCGGGGCTTGTGCAAGGAAGTCTACTCCGACTGCGGCACCAACTTCGTCGGAGCGGACCGAGAGCTGCGACGCCTGTTCCAGGCATCATCATCCGACGGCCGTCGCATCGCCCACGTTGCAGCGTCCGACGGGATCCGCTGGAGGTTCAATCCACCGGCAGCACCTCACTTCGGCGGGCTTTGGGAGGCGGCGGTGAAATCTACGAAACACCATCTCCGGAGGGTCCTCGGAGACACGACTCTCACCTTCGAGGAGATGTCGACGCTCCTCGCTCAAGTGGAGGCGTGCCTCAACTCGCGTCCTCTCCAGGCGCTCTCGGACGATCACGACGACGTGACAGCACTGACACCAGGGCATTTCCTGATCGGGGCCCCTCTGCTGGCAGTGCCTGAGCCCTCGCTGGCGGACGGCAGCCTCAGTCTTCTGCCCCGCTGGAAGCTCCTCCAGCGGATGCGCGACCACTTTTGGGAGAGGTGGTCGCGGGAGTATATCAACTCCTTAGCATCTCGACCGAAATGGCTGAAGGACTCAGCCAGTCCGGCCGTCGGCACCCTGTGCCTCGTACGGTCGGACACAACACCGCCGACCCGATGGCCACTCGCCCGGATCACCCGGCTGCATCCTGGGGACGACGGCGTGACACGCGTGGTCACTATACGCACCGCATCCTCGGAGCTTGTCCGGCCTCTCACCAAGATAGTCCTCCTGCCTGGAGCCGACACCGCAGCAGCAACGCACCCGGATTTGTGAGCGAAACGGAGCGCCGTGTTATTTTATTTTATTTTATTTTTTTTTCTTTTTTCTCTCGAAAATTCACTTGTCCGTCCGCGGAAATGTTTATCACGGCCGGTGCCGTGCATTGTCCGACGGCCGTACCGCGCACTTAACGTCTCTCTCATTTTTTGTCTCTGCGATCACCGCGTCAAATCTGCATTTTTACTCCACTGCACTTCACTTGCGATCACTCACCACCATACACTCGCGAGACCGCTCACTAATTCACTTCGCTCATTGTTCATATGATACACCGCCGCACACATTTCGCAATTACGCATTATGCGTTCTCGCGAAAGATCCGACTGACCGCAACAACACATCGTACGCTACGTCACTTTCACATTCCATTCATCAATCACTTCTCATCTCATAATTGGAACAGCGTACGACACCTGTCCGCGCTCTCACACACTCGGAGATTTCGTCACGTACTGACGAGGCGGGCGGGATGTTCGAAATTAAAATCAATCATTTCGAGTTCAGAAATCGCATAGCGGAACTCGCATATTCTCGCTAATAAATACTCGAATATTTATTATATTTAAAATTAACGAGCGTCGAGAAAGTTCTCGAAATCTTTGTTTATCGAGAAAAAACTCGAACACTCGACCTATCTCATTTTTTTCCGTCAGAAAAAGACGCTCGTTATTGCCGCGGACAATAACATTGTCAACCGCCGTTAAGATTTGCGCCGCTCATGGGCATGCGCGCCCATGCGTCACGATCAGCTGATCACCAATCAGCTGATCTTAAAAGATTGTGCGCATGAAAAATGAATTGTTTACGATATGAGACGTCATCATCGGCCAATGACACACGTCGCAATCGTGTCACCGCTAAAATCTTAAATTAATTGGTCCACGCCGACGCGGGCCCAAAATTCCGAGCGCCTTATAACGGGCGCCGCGCGTGGACCAAGCAAGTCTCGCACTTAACGCTGCTCGCAGTACGCTTTGAAAACCGCTTAGAATAACCGCTCAGTTTAACCGCAAAATACATCGACCGCTTTGTTTCTCGGACTTCTCCGTACGTTTTCTGGATCTGAAATTTTATGTTCAGTTTATTGTATTTTGTTGATTGTGGTGTACTAAATAAAACGCAAAACCAAAAAGAATTACGTGTCGTGGCAAGTTTTTTATGTGCAATTATCTGTCCGCGGTCATCCATCTGCCGCGTCGTCAAATTCTCGCGCTGCCGCAGCAATCCGCGCTCACTCGCGAACAGGCAGTAATTACAGGGTGTCCGTCAATTTTCGACCTTAATGAAATAAAGAAGTAGATTGGCTCGAATTAAGAAAGAATGACCTGTATTGTTTTGGGATTGTCGCAATAATTAACGAAATATTAAATAAAAAAGATCGGCCAATCTGCATGAGTAAAAGCGCGCGGCGACGAGAGTCGTCCCACCGTAATCCGATACTACGAGCGCGGCGAAGCGGTGGGCGGGTCGCTCTCCGAGACATGATGGTGGTTTTTTGCGATATATCGCAATACCGCGCCGAAAAATGACTTGTCCCCCCTTTTTGTGGCGAGAAAATGATGCGCTATCATTTTCACACCACCTTGCGGTAGATAGCATGGTGCGCTTTTTTTATAGTGGTTTCCCCCATAGGCCTATTCCACTCTCAATTTAAAAATTATTCAAAATGCCATTTACTATACGCTGAATATATCGTAAATGTAAAAAATTAATGAACAGTATCTTTACAAAAATTGATTCGTGGTTGAAAATCCTTCGATAAAATGTATTGCACACGTTGATAATGTGATACGATGATAAAATTTTTCAAGAATCCTTTCTTCATCTCGTACATGAAGACGCACTGCTGGACCGGTTATCCCGATATTATGCACGACACTCAGTTTCACATAATTATTGCACAACACGTAAAATTGTACGGCCACTTGGTTTTCGTGCACGCCCGAGAATGATTCCATGTAAATTGCGGCCGCACGATAAGTATTTTCTCCCGCTAGTCCGTATGCTACAATCATATCCGTATATTCCTGCAGAGTACACTTCATTTTCTCTGTTAATTTACTACGCAAACACAAGATTTTTATTAAAACGTCTTAGCTCTCGCACGCTGTTACCAGACTGCGTACGCCAGCAGCACGCAACTACAGCTGACAGCTGAGCGGACATGTGAGTGTAAGCGTACGTGTGAGTTCGATGCCTGCGCACTATGATTATGGGATACATTCGTAAAAATTGAGTTGAAACAAGTTGCCAATGTCTTCCTACGAATGAGTGTTATTAAATGCACATCCGAATCACTTGATACTAATCTTATTTCTGGACCTATTTCAATTATATCGTTAAGCCCTCTTTTACAAAGAAATCTATAACAAGAATGCAATTGCAATTTGATCGCTAATGTTAATGTTATATGTTTCCTTGATGTTACGGTAGACGCATAATTCTTCGAAATTTTATGAAACATCGAATAGAAATAGAAGATAAACTTTTATCCTCCATATCGAATAGAAGATAAACTTTTAAGAGGTCCCATTCTTCGAATAATTTCTGGATAATGTACCATAAAATGAAATTTGGGTTTTAGATGATCATTGAATAATCGTATATACATTTCATGATGAGAAATTATTAACTCTTTAAGGAAATTTATTTGAACGTTTGAAATAATTGTATCTGTTACGATATTAATAATTTCACAAAATATAAGATAGAAATCCCAAACTTCATTATCATAAGGAATTAAATCTCCTATAATAAAAGTTAAATAACAAATCATCGCAGACATTTCTGCTGTTGTAATCGATGCGTATAAAGATTGTCGACAGAAAGTGAATGATGTTTCGCTATCGAAACGACGCAACGCACTGAATCGAGCGAAAAGAAGCTTCTAAACACAGATCGGAGCTGTGTAGAAAAAGCTGAAGCAAAACAGAATGTTGTCGGTTACACGAATATTCAGTCCCCCTCACCCTCCTTTCCATTGATATGCCTAAAGCTTCTTTTCGCTCGATTCAGTGCGTTACGTCGTTTCGCTAGCGAAACAACATTCCTTTTCTGTCATCGATCTTTTCTTCCTTTATTTTCTTTTATTTTTTTTTATGAAACAAAAGATGGTCTTGTTGCCACGATCTCATCCGTAACATCCGTTTGAGCATTTTCCGAAGTAATCGCACCGATTATTATACGCGATCGATTATTGTACGCATTTATGTGCGATGACTAATTCTGCTCAAAATTGGATATTTTGAAACATTTCGAGGAAATGGATTTTCTTTAAAGAGTTGGGAATTGCCTCATCTCTGTGATATTTTTCAAGGTAATTCTAATTTATTATTTCTTTTCAAATAAAAATTTCTTTGTAACTATAATATTATCTTATTTATTATTTATTATCTTATTTATTATTTAACCAGCCTTGGATATTTTTGATTTACGCGTATCTTTTGAATCTTATTTGTTGTGCACAATAAATTAATACATTTTTATAAATTATAATTTATTATATAAATGTATAATTCGTTTTTTCTCTTATTTTATTTACACTGAAGTTTGATGTACATTTTATATTTACATTTGAGATTTTCTTATATTTAACATTTTATATTTTCTTTATGTAGCGAATGATATTAAAAGTGTAGATGATTTGGACGATCTTTTAAACGAATGTAATTCGTCCGATTTCAATAAATTGATTCCCAACGTTTTAAATCGATTGAAACTACGCAGACATTTCAATGAATACAATGTATGTTTTTCTCTATTTATATATTTTTTCTCTATTTTTATATTAATTATTATGTAATTAAACTGATTCTATTTGCTACTATTTTTAATCAGCGTAATTATAAATGGAAAAATAATAAAAATTGAATTATTTTTACAGATTCGCAATAAAACAGTCGACTTTGATTGTTCAAGTTTTAGTACAGAGAATGATAATATAAATAATTCAATTCTTGTTGATTTAATAAATCTTCCAACAAAACCTGAGAATGCTATTGTAGAAGATTAGCGATAACTGTCAAAATGTGAATAATTCTTTAGTTGAAAATAAAGAAATATTACCATGAACCACCTGTAGAGAAAAGAAGACTAAATTTAAAAACAGTGGAATTTAATTTAAAGGAAATATTATGAAAAACAGTTTTCGGTAATTCTCTGATACTAATAAATGAACATGGAGGAAATATTACATCTCAATGCCAATCCATTTTATGTGATATAATGTGTTATATCATACTTTTTGAATTTAAATATCAGGTATTTATCAGTATATTTATATGTTATTTTGTCTATAATTTTTTATTCTGTTACTTTACAATATTTTATCTTTTATGTATTATTAAAATATCTTTTTCATTTGGGATCCAATAATCTACATTTACTATATCTCTATATCGTGATATTTACATGTTAAATTTTCTTTTTTTAAAGAACACTTCAAAACGAAGATTTGCTAAAATTACAGAGGAAATAATTGAGTTATTTCCAAAAGAATGTAAAGAAACTTACTATATGCCACCTATACGAAAAAAATATTTAAAAATTGATAAAGCTGGTATCTCAAGAGAAAAATTGGTCGATAAATTTCGTAACGCATTAAAATTTATCCGTTATGCTGACAAGTTGAAAAATAATAATCACATTGAACAAAATGTTATTGTAAGCCAAGGTATTTATATTTTGTATTAAGATTTATCATGAAATTTTTGAAAAATATATAACTGGTCCAATAAATATTAATTTTTTAAATTCTTCTCAGCTGATGATCAACAAATCGCAGAAGAACATAGAATTTGGTTGATCCATAACCAAAAACCACAGAATGAAGTTAACGAAAAATGGGATCATATATATTACGCGTTGAAGATTGCGCTAGTAAAATATACAAAAATGTTAATGACTTATTTATAAAGTGGCCTATATTGAAATTGAATTCTTCTTATATATTGGTAAATGTCTTTATTTTGAAATAATATAATAAAATAAGGCTT